GAAATCCTTGCTGCAGTACAAGGAATTCAGATCGCCAATCAGCTTGGGGTGGAGCATCTCCTAGTTGAAGGGGACTCTCAGGTGGTAACAAGGTGGCTCCTAAACTTGGATACCACCATTTGGGGCTACAAAGATCTCATAAAAAAAGTAAAGTGGTTAACCAACAATATGAGGGTTGAGGTAAAATGGGTTAGTAGGTCTGCTAATTCTTTGGCTGATGCTTTAGCCAAACAGGGGGTTTCTAGGGAAGATCTTTTTTGTGCTTCTTTGTAAGTTGTTATTAGTTTGGAAATCTGTACTTAACTAGCCCGGAGAGGTTGCAACTCGTGCCTTGGGGACTTTGTACTATTGTCTATTGCTGATTAATAAAATTATTTCAATTATCAAAAAAAAAAACAGTATTGCACACAATCCAATACAACACGATAGAACTAAAGTACTAAACATGTTGAGGTGGAGAGGCACCATTCATGAAAGGGTGTTTTCTGATAAAATTTGTTTGCTTTCTGTCACTTCTAAAATAAATCTAGCTGATTTTTTCATGAAAGTAGTAGTAAAGTCTAACCTAGAGGCAGATTTATGAAAGGTGGGTGTGATTGATTTGCTCATCTTGAGGGGGAGAAGTGAGAGGTGTATTTTTTTCTTGGTTTATTTTCTATTCTTATTTTTCTTCCCATTGTCCTTTTCTGCTTCTTTGAGCTAGATGGCTGGGGGTCTTATTTTCATTTTGCGTGCAATTTGATTGATGAAAAAATTTTAGTGCAATTATTTATAAAAAAAGTGCAAATTGGTGATCAATATAAATAAAAGAGAGGGGGTGCACACCTCTTCTATCTCTACTTCTCTGTCTCCTTTCTTTTTTCATTCCTAAGTACTTAAAATTAGATTTAATCAAATAAATCTAGATTCAAGAAAACACGTGGTTTTACTGTCATAGCTTGGGGAAATTGATGACAAGTGACCAAAATGTTGTTTCCAGTTGGCCTGCCATATTTGTTGTTAATTTCTATATAACCGTGTATGAACTCATCAAAGCTTGGTGGGTTAGGATGTACCTGAACTCATCGACAAAAGTATCGTGTGCAATAATGTAAAACCTTTCCCCCTTTTTCTGGATAACTATGCAAAACCTTTGTCCTTGGAGCATTTAGGAGGAAAATGATGACATTTTTGGAGATGAGAGTGTTGCTTCTTCCAAGAAATAGCCATCGTATGCTCATTATGGTATTTTGTGATGCTTGGTAAAGAAAAGAAGGCCATTTCTTTTGTGATGATTTTAATTGTATTGTTATTGGCATCTATTCTCCTATATAATAATTTTGCTGTAGATGAACATATTGATGATTCTGTGAGCAACCTCCTCCCCCCCCTCAAAAAAAAAAAAGAAAAAAGCAAATTTCTTCTGTCCTTGTGCAGGTGGCTAAGGTTGTAGGTTGTTCTTATGCTATATTATCTGTTTATCATTTGTACAACAGAACGTTTAATTCATGTGAAACTGAAGTAAGATTTTCTTATCTATCTTAGGGGTATCCTTGCTGCAATTGATGTCTTCTCAGACCATGTATTTGTGGGGGTGAGTTCTTTAATGCTTAAACATCTTTTCATCCTCCAAACATGTATATATGATTTTCAGTTAAAATGCATCTCGTTTCAACTTTCAACTGAAAATTTTACAATCCAAATTCTCAACTTTTTTGTTATATTTCCTGATTTTTTTGATAACTATTGACTAATGGAATATCACTAATATTTCATTGGATTTTGTAATTCTTGAAATTCCTTTGATAGATATTGAGGGTTACTTCATTGTTCATATCACTTCGATGAATTTCATTTCATCTTGTTACTGATAAAAAGTATATACTGAGATAACTTCAAATGGGAAACTTTGTTGGAGATATCAGCATTCAGTAAATGTTTTAAGATTACAGACTATGAAGGAAAATATCAGTACTAAAAGTATGCTTCTTTTTTATTCACTATCTAGCACTGGAAAACATGTTCGGCACAATTGATTCATTTGAAGCCATGTACCTATGGATTTTTTTTTTTTTTTGATGAATCATGTACCTATGGATTTTGTAGCATAGAAATTACCTAAATGGTTTTGGTGTGTTTCTGAACTATAGTTGAATTTGTAGTAAAGACTAAGTTGGTGCTTCTCATAATCTTTATACTAGTTGAGTCTTACTACCAAGTTGACTAAAATTTTAGGATGGTTGGATGTGAGGCCAATTAAAATATCAGCATTATATACTGAAAATATGGGCTTAACCCTGGAGAGAGAAGTATGTTCTGTTTCATATTTATACCTTTATGGAAATGTGGGCCAGGAGAAACCAGTAAAGACATGAACAATAAGCAAAAGGAGAAATAATTACATTAGTTTTTATTTGGAAAGCTATTAATTCTATTATTCAATCTTTTCTGAGTTCATCAAATGTGATCCTTTGAGTTTGTCCAAAGTCAACTTTTGGGATGACATGTGGCAGGGTGATGCTTCTTTGGCCTCTTGTTTCCCTGATTTATAGGTTTTGTTGCAGTTTAAAGTTTCCTCTTTCTTTTTACATGATTGGCCACTTATGGTTTTCCTTTGCAATTTTTAGTTTTGTGGGTTAAAGGATCATGAAATGCAACAGCTTTCTGAATTATTGGATTGAATTTGGGTGTTTTTCTCTCCTATGGGTGAGGATAGGGTTGGTCTGCTGACCCTCATGGTTGTATATCCTTTGCTTCTATCAAATTCGTATTTTCCTGTACAAACTGTTTGGTTAGGGCTGTTAGCCCCTACTCCAAAATTAAGCGTTCTGAGAGAAGATTCCTTCAAACTATATCTTTACAAAAAAGAGGGCTAATAATTTCACATGCTTTGTGGTATTCCAGCTGATATCCTGACCCATTTTGTTATATTTTTTCCTTGAACTAAATGAGGGAAAATCATGTGGAGGTGTACTGGAGCAGATACTGTTTGGATGCCGTAGTTTTTCAACCGAAGAAGAATTAGCTAAAATGTTGTTGTACATAATACCACTGAAAAGGACTTGGGTGGAAGTAGTAATAAATTATTTAAGAGTCTATAGTTAAATGATGGATATGGCACTGGACAGAATAGAACGTTGAAACAGGATTGTGTAGCCAGTTCTATATAGTTGGAACTGAGCTTATAATGATGATGAGGATGATACATCTGAGGGTTTCATATCTTGTCCTATACTCCTATATAGAGAAGTGTTCACCAAATATTCAGTGGATGATGCAATGGAAGCATGGATTCAAATCTCTAAATATTCTATTGAAATACACATTCAAGTGGAAGTATGGTTTCCTCAGGGAGAAATTAAGTTAAACTTTGATGGTTTCTCTTTTGGAAACCCATGGATTTCAGATACTGCTGGTGTTAGAAATTAAAATGGAGTTATGTCTATTCAGATATGACTGGATTTGAGACTGCCATTAGATTGGCTATTGCTAGGATTGAGGTTATTGTATTCTTAGGAATTTCAAAAATTGAAAAATGGAAGGGGGTTCTCAAGTTTCTATTAGTTGAAGAAATAGTAAAGAAGGATTGTGGTAGATGCCACACTTTTTTTAGACACAACCTTTCTTCTAGGTTTAACATCTCATTTGTGATAAAGAGATCTGCTAGTATGTTGGCTGGCTTAGCCAGGTCGGGTATTCAAAGAGAAGTGTTATGTTGGGGGAGGGGGCATCCATTCCTTGGGCATTGCAATTGAGAATTGTGAAAAGAAAATGCAAGTGGTTGTGTTTAATGGAGGTGTTTTGTATTCTTATGTAAAGACTGGGGGGATGTCCTATGTTGTTTGTCATTCTATACTTTTACTTGAACTTCATGATTGTCTATATACTCTTTATCATTAATAAGGAGCTTGAATTACCCATTAAAAAGAAACGCCATGGTGATATCTTTTTTCTGATCATGGAGGTTGTTACATGGAAGATTAGCATACAGTTGATGTTTTTCTTTCTTGCAGATATTCTACTTGATTGGCTTTGGGTTCTTCTGTTTAGAGTCTCTTCTAAGCTTGTGGGTACTTCAGGTCAGTTCTATAAAGCATTGCTATTTTTGTTACTTATATTCTTTAATTTCTAACACCTTTGATCTTTTCTTTTCAATCAGTCAAATTATATATTTTCTAAATGGCCTTTCTGGAGGGTTATGCTCATTAATTGCATAACTTTGTTTTGACTTCTTGATCTTGTTTTTTCACGTGTTTTTAGAGGTTCCTGCTACTTTTATAGTACTGTGTTGTCAAGTTTTCAGTATGAAATGAGCAGGATCTGGTGTATTTGGTCATATGTTTGTGATGCTGGTTTCACTCTATGCTGCATTTATTGTTAATTTCATACACATGGAAATTAGCTTTCCTCTTTTAGTTGTGAAAAGTTTGCCTTGGTTGTTTTGTTTTGAGGTAGTTGATGGCATTGGGTATACTTTTAACTGATACCTGTAGCTACAGGATATTGTGAGGATATTCTTGATCTTAGAACTTAAGGTTATTGTGGTGAGGGTGGGAGTGAATTATTGATCAAAAAGGGTGCGAGTGGGTAGGGCTGTCAATGGACTCCAAAAGTTCGGTACCTGATTTGATTCTGAATCTGATTATCCCAGATTTGGATGTTAGAAGTTGCATCTGGTTAATAATCAGTTTGGATGTGGATTTAACCCCATCCGATCCAATTAAAATCTGAGTCTGATAAAAAATTTATTATTTTATATATTTGTAGTATAATTATGTCTATATATACAATATACAATTATATAGAGTTTACAACTAATAAATTTAATGTTTAATATTTAGACATTTTTATACATGTATAAGTTAAAAATAATTAGTTTCTAAGAACTAATTTTTATCTAATATACAATTTTATATATTTGATGCAGTTTTTGAATGCCAAACAGGTGATCTACCTTTCCTATATTTAGGACTTCCGGTAGGATCCAGAACTAATGAAGCAGGGATTTGGAGGCCAGTGATTGAACGAGTAGAGAAAAGGCTAGAGAGATGAAAAGGCAAATACCTATCTCTAGGGGGCAGAATCACACTGGTGAGAAGTGTTCTCTCAAGTCTGCCGACTTATTATCCATCTCTTCTGAAGGTTCCAGCCTAGGTGGGGGAAAAAATTGAAATGATTCAGAGGGACTTTATGTGGGAAGGAGTTGGTGGTGCAAGGAAGTCTCATTTGGTGAAATGGGATAAGGTGTGTAGGCCAAAAAAGCATGGTGGCTTGGGTACTTAGAAGAGTTAAAACTTTCAATAAGGCCTTGCTGAGAAAGTGGCTGTGGAGGTTTGGGTTGGAAAAGGAGAGGGAGTCCCTATGGAGAAGGGTTGTAGCAGGAAAATATGGGCTGGTGAGGTTTGGGTGGGAGTCAAGGGAGGTTTCCAACTCTTACGGAGTGAGTGTTTGGAAGGGGATCATGTTGTTCAATCAAGAGTTTAAAGATGTAGTCAGATTTAAGGTGGGAGATGGGGCAAGAATTAGATTCTGGGAAGATGAGTGGTGTGAAGTAGGGAAGCTGTGCGAAGTGTGCCCGGAACTTTATAGGCTGTCTGAACACTAGATTAGAATTGATCAATGCTTTGAAGTGTGCAGAGAAAAGATTGTATGGTGTCCCAAATTCAGAAGACCCTTGCTAGACCAGGAAATAGAAGAATGTGTTCAGTTGTTGAACTTGCTTCAGAAAGTGGAGGTATCCACTTCCTTGAGGGATGGTTTGTGGTGGAAGGAGTGCAAGAATGGGGTTTTCTCAGTGAAATCTTTCTATCTAGCTATGTTAGAGGACCGGCGGGGATCAGATTACAAGGGTGGAATCTGGGGGAACCCCATTCCACCTAGAGTGGAAGCTTTTGCTTGGCTGGTTGCCATGGACAACATCTTAACATCTGATCATCTGAAGAGCAGAGGGTTTCATATGGCAAACTTTTGTGTCATGTGTAGTGCAGATGAAGAATCTGTTCTGCACTTATTTTCCACCTGCAAGACTGCAAGAATAATTTGGAGTTATTACACTTCTTTATTTGGGAAAAGTGCGATTCAGCCAAGATCAGCAGCAGAAAGTTTTCTCCACCTGGCCAAGAATTGGGGGAGGTAGGAAAGCAGGGATAGTTTGGAGCTGCATCCCATTTGCTGTGTGCTGGACACTATGGAACGAAAGGAACAGAAGGATCTTTGAAGACAAACTCAAGAACACAGAAGTTCTGGTGGCTCTGGTTGGGAAGTTAATTGCAGATTGGGTTTGGGTGTTACCAGACTTTGATCAAGTAAACAGACCAGATTTGGGGGAAAATTTCTGGAGTTTGCTTGAGATTCAATGATGTATCTGTACCAATCGTAGTGTTGGGCTGTACCTAGTGCAGTTTTGTTCTGTTTTGTTAGTTTGGTGCCATCTTGTCACCTACTACATGTAACTGATCTTTTTCTTTTAATAAAATTTCTATTTTATTCTTCAAAAAAAACTTTTTAATTTTTTTGTTATTTTAAACACAATAAGTCGAATGTGGATTATATCTGAATCTGATCCGAGTTTGACATATCAGATTTCGAATTGGATTCAGATCCAATGGTTCTATAATTGGATTGGATGCGGATTTAGGTGAGTGTGATCCTTTTACAGCCTTAGCCTTAGAAGTGCAACTGTAGTAGTTCCCCAGGAAGAGTCGGACTCAGAGAGGTCCTCACAGGACAAGTTAGGTCATTCAGCTGAATGAGAATGATGAAAATAGACCCTTATTTTCATTGTTTGAAAGAGCCTGAGAAACATTGTAGGCATAGATTTTTACCTTTTTTGTGCAAAAATGACTGATTTGCCAATGGTAACTTTGTGCACAAAATGGCAAAGGTTATACCTATTATCATCAAAAAAAAAAAAAAAATGAAAAAGAGCCAAAGGTGAGTCCACCCCTCACAAGACCCAAGCTAGCTAGGGCCAACATTGGGTAATGGCCTTTTTTTAGATCATGATCCTTTTCTCTTTCTTTCTTTCTTCCTTCCTTCTAAATGAGTGATGGTCAAGAGGGAGGTTTTCTTCCTAAAGGATGTGTGAGATAGGTTTAGTAAGTGACAGGTTGTGATAGGTTGTGATAAGCAGTTCCTTGTTGCTTGTGAATTAGCTTATTAGTTATGGAAGAGATGGTTGGGAATTTATTATTAATGGAAATGAGTCTGAGGATGCTATTGCACGTTATAGACAGAAATATCAGGGCTTTACCTTCTATCTCCCACTAAAACCAAGAAAAACAATTTACTAGATGTGCTATGAAATTTCTTATAGAGATTAATGTATCGTTTGGCATACTTTCAGGTAATTGATTTTGATGAAATTTATTTATTTATGATAGTTTAAAGAGATGAATTTCATTCAAAAAATAAAATAGAATTATGAACACAGCAGCCTTAGCTGACCAGCAAACACATTATGAATTCTATGACCTTATTACAACAAAGACCCTTGACATTAAGCAACCCTAAATGAATTCAGATCTTGAAGCTCCTGCCTCCTGATTGGCTAATCTATCTGCAACTTCATTTGCACTTGGAACCTAATTGGATGAGTAGTCCAGTTGTCTTCCCAAGGACAGGACCTCACAGATCAAGAATCTGAATGCCCAGGGAGCTTCTTTTTCAGTATTTATCCAAGAAATGACAACTAAACATCCCCTTCAATCACCAAATCACCCAACCTGCTCTCAGCTGCAAGATGAATGTCTTTTAACACTGCTAGCAGTTCAACCCTTAGAGATACCCATTTCCACTGAACCCAAGTTAGCATAATATTTCCTTCTTCGTTCCTCACTAAACCACCAATTCCAGAGGCACCTCAATTACCCACATTGCATCCATCAAAATTTAACTTTAACAAGCTTGTTCTTGGTGGATTCCATTGTACCATCCTCTTTCTTACTGTTAGAAGTTACCACCATAAGTTCCACCCCCTCAATATGTCGCATGCTGGGATCCCTCCCTTTAAATTCTTAGTTACCATCACCCAGTGAGCAGCTTTCACCTGAATTAGCTCTATCAAAATTTCAGGTTGTTGTTCCTTGTCTTTGAATAATCTCTTTTTTTTTTTTTTATTCATCAAAAAATATTCTTTTTTTTTTTTTTTTTTTTTTTTTTTTTTTTTTTAAAAAAAAAAATTTTTTTTTTTTTTTTTTTTTTTTTTTTTTCTATTTGATGGGGGAACTACATCCACTGACTTGATCAGATGATCCATCTGGCACCTTTAGAGAGCTTGTTAAATTTAAATTTTGGAACCACAAAATGACAGCAGATGATGATGCACGAGTCATAGTCTACATAGGCTTTGCAAATCAACTTTACACTTTTACAGAATGCTTGGAAAATAACACACTTCGAGCACAAATCAATAGTACATGCACACACCGTTTTGCTTGAATACTCGTACAAAAAGATAGTTTAGATCATGTCTGAAAGTCTATTTTATGTTGGGCCAAAACCTAACAATATTAAAACACTATTTCCACATGAGGTTATGGAAAGCCAGATATGTAGTGCATATTTGTACTTTTAATGAACTATGTGACAGCCAATGCCTTCTCTTTTCCTCACTAGCTTTTAGTTGTTAAGGAACATTTTTTCCCTGGTTTGTACAGAAAGTTTACATGTACTTCAGAGGGCACAAGTGAAACCTGATGCTGCGATCCACGAACACATGAAAGTTTCAGTGTTGCTGCTGCTGCTACTGCTTGTGGTTTCCTGGCATGTTTTTTTCCCCTTGTTTGTTTTTTGGTTCTTTGATGAACATGGATATTGGCAAATGGTGCACGAGTGGCATGTTTTAATGGGTAGGCTATATTTTTTGTGGGTCATTTGTTCTTTTAAGCATCCATCTATGTATAAGAACTTGTTTCTCTTATGGGTTTATCTTGTACAATTCATTTACTAAGCATTTAGCGCACAGGGTAAGCTCATTGTAGGGATACTGCAATTCAAATGTGTGTCCACTTTCCACTGCCATTCTCCCTACCCCAAAGACCAAACACATTGCGATTGGATGGATGATCTCGAGCTGGCCGATGGTTTCACAGTGAGCTTAATGATCATCATCCGGATGGAACTGGGTTTAAGGTCAGAGGAATTGGGTGGTTCTAACTTCTAATCTCCACTTGATTGAAATTTGAAACAGAATGATAAACAAGCAACTAAAGCTGTAAAGCATGCGCGCTACGTACCAACTACTAAAGCGTCCAAGGCTAAAGCCCCCATTGACACGTTAAACATGGGTGGTTCCACTTCGACGCGTCCACAATCCATCTGGTATGATGTATGATCCCTTCACTGGTATCACTTGACCTCTTGTCTTTGCATCGGGAAGCAGTCAGTTTGAAAATTTTCTTTATGGAATCTACGTGGGTTCCCCTAGATTAATAAGAGCTAGGTGGTTTGGGGCTGCCCAATCGGTGGGCTTCCTCGCAAGTCGCAACTGGGTTGGTAGCTTTGAAGGCAAAATATCTTAAAATTGAGGTTTCATGCTTCCTTTCCCCTGTCAATTCATAGACCATAAAGGGCCCCTCAAAAGTGGAGCAGTGCAGGTGCAGCCTGGATTGTCTGGTTCGCTATAGATCCGATTTGACTTCTGGGGCACTGAGTGTGAGGCAGTTTGTCTCATAGCCATAGGTATCCTATCCCCCGTTAATTTCCAACTTCGTAACTCCAGATACATGTCTAGGATCTGATGTTTATAGCATGTGCATGCAAAATGCAGTCACATGAATAAAGCAGGGGAATGTAGACGTCCCAACTCCCGCCCTATATCCAAAACCGGAGAATGTTGGTAGCAGCCCATAGTGTTTGTTTTCTCATCTTGGTTTTTTTTTTCCTAGTCTGCGGAGAGTGGAAGGAGAAACAGGAAATGCACATGTCTACTTTTTCTGTACTGATTACTACTATTCACATAATACATGGAATCAAGGAAAAGGGTTCTTATTCAAGTGGAGCATTCCTGGCACACCCAAGTTACAAGTTTAGCTTTAGTCTCGTTTAGGTTAACGAGAATGGACTCCTCTTGTTTGGCCCTCGAGCCTGTTGACGACTCTGCGTCATTACAAGTTGGATATATATCTCGTTTTTCCTGTTTTCTGGGGTTCCTGACTTGCTTCTGTTGTTGGATTTTGGAGGTTGGAGCTACATTGTTCCTGGTCAACCTGGTTTAAAAAATGTCATAAGAAAAAACATTAATCTGTGTTACAGAAAGCCTCGATTCGGAAATGAAAAGAAAAAAACATTTCGAACTGCTTCCGAGACTGCACGTAACGATGTTAGAGTCGTACTTGGATCGGTCATTGTAATTAATAATGTAGATGGCACCTGAAACTTTTGACTATTAAACGCGCGAGTTGCGGGTTGCGACGAACGTTCATGGTTGTGTTCCTATAAAGGAACATCCATTTCTTGTGAAGGGTTTTAAGTTCAAGCTTACGATGCGCAGAACAACTGCATCTAGACATTCTTAATTCTTTGAGACCGACTGTAGAAGTTTATGTCGAATTCAGTTAACTTCCACTGTTAAGATTGATTTGTACAAGTGAAGCAAGCCTTGGACTCAGACCCCAGTGAAGCGAGCCTTGGACTCAGACCCAGAAAATAAAACATTCTTGTCAATTTTGACGGTGTCTTTTATTTTCCCATCTTTTCTGTGGCTCTGTGGACTTTGGTGGTTCCAGAAGCAAAACCTCACACACAACATAAGGAGGAGAATTCCATAGTCCAACCCAAGCAAGAAAAGTTAGTGGACTGAAATCTATGGTCCCATATCTCTTTCACTTCTCATCCCTTCCCATCTCATCTCCAACCAACCATCCTCTGCCACGTGTCATACTCATATCCTATGTGGAGGAATTTACGACCACTCTTCTCCATGCGCGTTCTTTGGTAATCACAAACGTCACCTAATCAATAGTTTTACACTTTTACTTGCAGACGAAAGAAAGACAACACAGAGCAAACAAAATATTAAGATATAGAGTTGGGAGCGTAAAAGAAATAAATAATTAAAATGACAACTTTACTCACAGCGCCCTTTGTTTACTCACCATGTCTTCTCTTCCCACTTTAAGATCTCCTCCAATTTTGCCCAAAACCAGGGGCAGTCACAAGCACATATAAAAACAAACCTCGGCAACTCAGCACTCCATCAAAACTAACCATTTTTTCTCCTTCACAACTAGTTTCTATTCCTTCTCTGTGTATACCTCTCCCCAGTTCCATATTCTTGTTTTCTTTCTATTTTCTTCACTTCTCNTTCACAACTAGTTTCTATTCCTTCTCTGTGTATACCTCTCCCCAGTTCCATATTCTTGTTTTCTTTCTATTTTCTTCACTTCTCTTTTGATTTCAAAGGAAAAGAAGCAGAACCCATTTCTTGTATTTCACAAAAGCAGCAGAATTGATAGCTTAGCACCGATTTCAGATCCTTTCCTCTCAGAAGATTCTAAGAGGTCTGTACAGAAACAATGGCAATTTGTACAGTCTACACAACCCATTCTCTGAATTCGACCTGTTCAATCTCCACCCCAACCAAGACTAACTTGGGTTTTCACCAGAGACAAGTATTCTTCTACAGCACAAGCAAGAAAACCAGCAGGAGGGGCAGCGCCAACTCGTCAGAGATCACGTGCTCAGTAGAATCAAAGACAGTTGTGATTGGGTTGGCAGCAGATTCTGGATGTGGGAAGAGTACTTTCATGAGGAGATTGACAAGTGTGTTTGGTGGTGCAGCAGAACCACCCAAGGGTGGAAACCCAGATTCAAACACCTTGATCAGTGACATGACCACTGTAATTTGCTTGGATGATTACCACTCACTTGATAGGACAGGGAGGAAGGAGAAGGGAGTTACTGCACTTGACCCAAGAGCAAACAACTTCGATCTCATGTATGAGCAGGTCAAGGCTCTCAAGGAAGGAATTGCTGTTGATAAGCCTATTTACAATCATGTTACTGGTCTCTTGGATCCTCCTGAGCTTATCAAACCTCCCAAGATCCTGGTCATTGAAGGACTGCACCCAATGTGAGTCTCTAAAATTCCTTCACAAGTTCTATTTTACTTCACATCCCACATTTATTTTTCTCTCTCTTCATTTTTTGTTTTTCATGGCATATCAGAAATGTTGTCTTTTGATCCTTTCCTACATATGTTGTGTAAGGATTTGCATTCAGTTCTTTGTTGATGACAATTGCACTTTCCTTCTTTCTGTCTTCATTTTGAAGGGGTGCCTTTGAATCTCATCAGTTTGCACCTTACATTTTGCACTTTGCAGCATTAGATACTATTCTTTTGGAGATCTTGTTGAAGAGATTCAACAGAATTCTATCTCTATCTTGGGTTTTCTGTCGCCTTCAATTATGAGATCCCCTTCTCTCTCTCTCTCTCAGGTTTCTCTCGACCACACAAAGAAAGACCTTCATCTAAGTAGATAGGATGAGTACTTCAACAATTGGGTTGGTGCCACGCCGCATGCTGACGGCTGAACTTTTCGCCAGCACATTGTTAAACTTACAAAACCAAAGTTATGTAAATATTGATTCTTAGCCCTCGGATTTGATCTGGGTTTGACCATGTAGTTGGACTAGCGGGACCCAGATACCCTTTTCTGCTTCTCTTGTCAACCCACACCCTACAAAATCAGGTGAACTCATGATCCTTGGCTGTTGGACAACTATCTCTTTCCGCCTCTTTTTAACAATGTCCTGGACTGACAGAACCTAGTTTTGGAACCGGTCCATGTTGGACCTGGTTTTGGAACAAGCAGCGTTTGGTCCAGACTCACTTATGGACCTATGGTGAAAAAAAAAACAGAAAAAAGAACTCAAATCCAGTGGCTATCAGGCATTGATAAGCTGGCAGTTTTAGAATTTGGGTTCACCAAGAAATGTGGAACTATTGGGGTTTGTGGGTCCCAAAGAGTGCCTGGGTTGGTCAATCACAGCCATCCATTTTAGACATTTAAAATGATTTGAAGTTGATCTATTAATACCGGAAGGAAAAAAGGAGGTTTTATTGAGATGGTTATAACTCTTCTAATGGCATTATTTTTGGACCATAACTAGCCCAAGTGGGGTGGTCTGAGATTCTGAGTGTGACACATTGTCATGCTATGCTAAATCACTTTCTCTATTGCCAATATTATTTTATTAAAGATCCTATTATATATTTGTAGTTTTGCTGCTTTTGCAGAAAAGGAAATTTCTCTTTTACACCAACTTGCCATAGAAATTAGCTGTCAGCTTGTCCTTGACAATCACATATTTGTTACAAGTTTATAATCTCTCTCTCTAAATTACTTCCATTCATTATTTAAAGAAGCATTCAATTCTCAACAAAGTTGTCAATGGGTTGGGTCCACCTGATAATCAATTATAAATTTATAATTGGGTGGGTACATTCCAAACTGACGTCAAAGACTTGAATCAATCAAGTAATAAATTAAATCTATAGCTATACTATATAAAAGTGCGGACGTAGAGTAGAATTTTTTTTATTAAATTTATCATCTATTTCTTTGTTTGAAAAATTGTATAAAAGTCATTTAATTATAGCTTTAATGGCTACTAAAATGTCCATATTTGTGTATTTAATCAATTTCTAATTGTAAGGGTTGAAAATGTAACTTAATTATTAATTTTCACCTCAATTAATCATTTCTCATTAAGTCTTATACTTAAGGTATTAACTTCCATTTTCTCATATTAAATCTCATATTTAAGCTATTTTTTCACTAATAAATGATATTAATTAGATCTATCTCAACATTTTTAACAATAGAAACCTATATATTTTAAAATTGACTAAAAAAACAAAACTATTGTTTATCCAATTGGTGGCTAAGCAATTCAACCATCTGAATCAAATTGATCAACCGATGAAGTCATAGTTAGGTAATAAAATTTTTAAAATAAAAATAAATATAAAAATTACAAAAATATAGAAAAATTAGATACATTTATGATATTTTTATTAATCAAACTAAAAAATAAGTGTAATAAATAAACTATTTTTATTGATAATGAAAATGAAATACATAATTTTGAAATGACCAAAAATGAAATTATTTTACTATTTGGCAAAGATCAGTAGTTCAACTTTTGAGCAAATGTGTTAACACTTAATGTCATAGATAAATAATAAAACTTGATAAAATAAAAAATAATTTTGTAAACAAACCATTCAAACACATGTATAATATCATATATTTATCATATTAGACAAAAAGTAAGTGTGACATATTAGAATTTTTTTACAAAGAAATACAAAAAAGAAAAAATTGAATACATCCATAATTCTATATTTATGCTATTATTAACATTATGAATAAGATTGTAGAGCTTTCATTTGATTAAAGTACTCATTTTTAATTTAATTCCTATTTAATTGTGAGGTTTAAATTGCAAATTAAACTACTATTTTTCACCTCATTTAATTTTCTTTATTTAAATCTTACATTTTTTTGATAAATGAACAAAAAAAGATAAACCAAAGAGATAAAACATTACAAAAATAAGAGTCTACCAAGCAATGATCTTTGAAACTTTACAACTCCATTTAATTAATTTTCACATATTTGGATGAGATATTTATGTAATAAGATTTGGATTTTGCAATATACATCTGAGTAATAATAAAAGAAAAAAAATATAAAAAATACATAAAGTTTATATAAAAATTTGGATACATTATTACTATCATTATCATCATTTAGAATTGCTATGTGCAAAGAATGTGCACACTTACTAGTAATATATAAATGTCTCAACGTTTCCTTGTAACTTTTCTTATATGTTTAAAAGGGAAAATTTCATGAATAATATAAAATAATTTTAATTAAATCACTTAATTTTATCAACATATAAAAGTTTACTATTTATAAGTGAAGTTCCAAATTGTTTTTTTTTTTAAGGTTTTGTTCTATGGGGCTACAAAACTGGGGTAAACTTGTTCATGGGCTGGGCTTTATCTTTTTTTTTTGCTATTAATTTTATTATTATATAATATATATGTTTATTATTAATATATAATATATTTTTATTAAATATAATATTATCGGGCTAGGCCCTGAACCCAGCCCAAAAATAGTTGGTCCCCGATATTTAGAGCCCTAGCCTGAGTCTATAGGCTTAAAATTTTGTCTAAGCCTGATTTAGAACGGGCTGGGTTGGGCCAGCCTGTTAGGTTATCCGACCCATAAACAGGTGCAAACATGGTATCCCATCCCCCAGACCCATAACCCACTTGCCCCCAAACCAGGGCGGGATTCAATTCCAAGCCTCCGCTACAACCAACAAGAGACCTTACCAACCAGCCAGTTCCCACCTTGCAAAAACTGCACATTAAGTTTCAAATTGTTATATTATAGGTAATTATAGATGTTAAGCATAGGTAATTATAGACATGGTCGACCATGTCCCGACCAATGACAGCTCTATTTCCACCTAATTAGCAAATTCAAAATCCAGACTAACTAGTCCATTGTGTTTTAGTCGATTTGCAGAGTTAACTTGTTGGTTGGATTTCTGGTTGTTAGGTACGATCCTCGTGTAAGGGAACTCCTCGACTTCAGCATCTACTTGGACATCAGCAATGAGGTCAAGTTTGCATGGAAAATTCAGGTAAGCAGTCTAACATGTAGCATCCAGTAATGGAGTGTTAGAGCTTATCTTTTGGTGTTCATTTTCTTGGTTCTGATCATATCGAGTTGCAGAGGGACATGGCAGAACGTGGGCACAGTCTTGAAAGTATTAAAGCCAGTATTGAAACCCGAAAACCAGATTTTGATACCTACATTGGTAAGTTCCATGGCCACTCTGAGTCTGGTTTCTATACCTCTTAACTCTTTTCATCTCTGCTGATCTCAATCTCCCATTTTATGGTTTCAAAATGCAGACCCACAGAAGCAATATGCAGATGCTGTGATTGAAGTCCTGCCCACCCAACTTATCCCTGATGATAACGAAGGGAAGGTTCTGAGGGTTCGGTTAATAATGAAAGAAGGGGTTAAGTTTTTCAGCCCAGTTTACTTATTCGATGAGGGTTCCACTATTTCATGGATACCCTGTGGCAGGAAACTGACCTGCTCGTATCCTGGCATCAAATTCATCTATGGCCCAGACACATACTTTGACAATGAGGTAACTTACCCCAACTTCTCAAACTCAATCTTTTCTTTTCTTGTTTTCTTCATTCAGTTTGGTCCCATTGTAATATCAGATTGGTTACCATTCTAGGTTTTCAGTACATGAACATTCTGATCTGGGTCTGCTTTAATTTCATCAAACAGAACAGAAATTCTATGGAGAAGATTGAAACCTGATCAGTTTTGCTTTGTTTGTTTCTCTAGGTGTCTGTGTTGGAGATGGATGGGCAGTTCGACAGATTAGATGAGCTTGTTTATGTGGAGAGCCATCTGAGCAACCTCTCTACGAAATTCTATGGTGAAGTTACACAGCAAATGTTAAAGCACGCAGATTTCCCAGGTAGTAGCAATGGGACGGGTCTCTTCCAGACCATAATTGGGTTAAAGATAAGAGACCTTTATGAGCAGATCACCTCCAGCCAGGCAGCAGTTTCATTAGAAGCAACCAAAGCCTAATAATGGGCTTTGACAGATTCATCTCCTATCATCCTTCAGAGTTATTTTTTCCTTCATCTTCATTGTCGTTGAGTTAGGGCTCTCCCTACATCGAGAATATATGTATTTTCTTGTTGCAACCCTGTGGAGATTTGTAATATAGAGAGCAGCATAGGAGATATGGAATGCTGTTCAAAGATCAAACACATTTCTTTTGGAAGTGTTGTTGGACTCTTTGGGCCAAATGTCTACTTGTATGACTCAATTCTTTTCCCTCTCTTTTCATCATCATTCGTTGTCTCAGATGTGCAAAGATGACAACCAACTCTGCTGTCAAAATAGTAAACAAATTTCCTCTTTTTTTTCCCTTTTTTTCCTCTTGTTCTTCTGGTTGTCAATGAGAATTCTTTATAAAATAAGGATTACTCCCAATGGAGTTCTGAATGTAAATCTTTTACATGGATTACACATCATACAAGGAACATCTTTCTGGGTCTGACATATAAAACTATTTCAAACCACTAGGCCCATTGTTTTGACCAAATTGTAGCCTCAACATTCCCCTATTCCATTATTTGGCACCCAGAATCCCAGAGTTTTAGTTCCATTAATCATCAGAGGAAAAAGGAGGTACAGCTGTACAAGGTCCCCAGATAAAATCTTCTGAGTCATTGAAATTTGAAAGGGAGAAGTAACCCAGGAGGGGTTGCTCGGAAGGCAAATGACAAGGCTTTGTTGGCAATAGGGGAGAACTGGTTAGGGCAAAGGTTCAAAGTATAGATACATCTGTGTATTGGTACTTATAACAATAGCACAATACTCTTCCTTTTTTTTTTTGCTTTCGATTTCAGTTATAATAACGAGGACCCAAAAGATATAATATAATATAACCGATACGGAGTATATCATATCGAAATTTTAATCCTTCATTAGGGCAGAGGTGGTTGAATTGAGTGATATGCACCATCAAATTCAATGATATGCTTTGTAATCCCCAATTCAATGATATGCTTTGTAATCCCCAAGCTGATAGCCTCTATTACTTTGCCAATGGCGAATTAGCAGAAAAAGACAGATGTTCCTGATGGTAATACCTAGCCATGATTGTGCCTCAACACAACTTAGCCTATGCTGAGGCATCCGCTCTGCCATTCAATTTAAACCTCCCTTCACCCCAGACTCCAGCAGCATGAGAAAATAGGCAACATCAGGGCTGTAAATGGTATCCATTATTGAAATTCGAATTCAATCCCATTAAGGATGATTTGAATTTGATCCGTTTGTAATTAGATCCATCCACACCTATCTGACCCGATAAAATTCCACACTTCAAATTTATATTATATCTATTGCTTTAAATATTGTGTTTTTACGGGCATAAGTTCAAATTTCATACATGCTATTTTTTATTCATTTTGGTTCATGAACTATCAAATCAAAGTCATTTTATTAACGGCTACATTTTAACCTTCATAAAAAATATAAAATATATATAAAATAAATTAACGGGTGTTAATATATTACCATTTTAATATTTAGACATGAAAAAGGAAAAAGTTCAAATATAAAATACATAAAAACATAGAAATCACAAAAAATTATAAAAATTGCAAACAAAATAAAAAATTATTTTCAAATTATAGAAACAATAGAAATTGAAAAACAAAATCAGAAAATAAAAATTGTAGAAAAAACATCAAAAATTATAGAAAAACACAAAAATTGTAAATAAATAACAAAAATACAGGAAAAGTTATAGATTGTAGAAAATAGAAAAATGTAAAAAACAGAAATTATAAAAAAACATTGGAAATTATAGCAAAACACTAAAAATGCAAAAAAAAAAACAAAAAATTGAAAACTGAAAAGACCGATTTTCCTCTAACTCACCATTCAAGGGTAATTTGGTCATGAAAATTGTTATTTATGCTGACATGGACACACTTCTATTAAGAAACATTAGTGATGCACTAACGGAATGTGAGTTTTGGAAAATAAAAACTTACTGACATGGCGAGTTTTAGACATTTTGAAAAGTTGTGGTGAGTTTAAGAGAAATGTTGAAAACTCATGGTGAGTTTTAGTTAATTTCCCTATTAATTATGTATGATATTTTTGATCACTTTTAGTTTAATTTGTTAACACTGTACAATACCCAATTGCAATTTAATTCAATTCCAACCCAATATAAATCCAATGGATTGGATCTGATTTGACTAAATATGAACCAATCAAATTTAGATATAATCCATTTGCAGCCCTAAACAACATCATATATTTTAGAATTTAGATTGATTGGGTAGCAGGATGTTGGTCACTTGGTTGTAAGATGGAAACTAACAGTGCTCTGATCGATTTGTGCAATGCTTTTGCAAGTTGAATTTGTGGTCGGAGAATCAGGTGGGGAGTAGTTTTAGCATGAATACTTTAGTCTTATTAAACTACATATAGTAAATCAAGGGCCCCTGACGCTGGCAGGCATTGAGTATTGAGTTTGAGTTTGCTTGAGCAGTTGAGGCTGGTCTGGTGGAGACTGTGGAGTGGAGATACGTAAAGACAACAAACAACAGCAGTGGATTGGAATCAAGTTTCGGACGTGAAAAGGAGTTTGCAGTTCAACCGTGATACATCAGCGCATTATATGTACAWCAATTAAATAATATTTACATAATATATATATATACACATGGTTTATATTAAATTTAATTTATATTTTTTATTTTAAATGGTAACGGAAAGGCTTAAAAGGGAATGTGGTAAGGGTCCTAAACTGAAAATTGTACATGCAAGGCCCCCAACTATATTAATTATGTTCTGGCTTTAGACTAAGGTTGCATTTGGCATTTCTTATTTTAAAGATTTATCTCTTTTTTGCTGTTAAAGTGTTTATTATAACATTTTAACTATAAAAAGAAGATAAATCCTTAAAATAAGAAATGCCAAACGCAGCTTAAAAAGGCCGTCTGATAGGGTTAAGGTGGTGTTGTTTTTTAGTGAATAGGGTATCTAGGAGATTGTGAGGTCATTAATGGCTGAAGCTGAAGTTGAGTTGTTTACACTTCACTCCAATAGGCTTCTGTAAGACTTGAGATAACAGCCTAACATACACTGATAAATGTGAAATAGATATTGTGGTATGACACTCATTTAGAGTACACAAAACAGTCAACCCAAGGCCCTGTTTGGTAACGTTCCCCTGAGAATGATTCATTAATTCTCGGTGTTTTGATGGAGAAGAAACGTATTTGGTACAAACAAATAAAAAGACGTGTGAGAACAGCACCCAAAGGAGTGAAAAATCGATGCCCCCAAAAATGTGTTCCCTGGGAACGCATGGTTCCTACTACGTTAACCCATATTTACGAACACGTGTGATGGACGTCCATGTGATAAAAATGGGTGTTTTTTGCACTAAACAATAGAAAACCCTACTAACCTTTTGTTCAACAGTGAACTCTTCCAAAACTCGTTGCTGCAAATCTCCAAGGAAGGAGGATCTCAGCTTGGTTCCAACCGGACGGCGAGCGTCAACGGGTATGGATTTTGGCATCTGTTTTAAACTTCGGCCAGATTCACCTCTGAAATCGTTTTTGCTCCCACCGCATTGACAAAGTCTATTACGACCGTTAATGTTATCTCCTCCGTATGAAATTGAAATCTCATCACTCAGCTTACTAATGTTGCCATTTGGACTGGTTTTCTTGCTCAAGAGATTCTCTTCTTCCCTGGCTGATGTAATGTTTCCTCTCTGAGTCCAGTTTGATGAAGCTCGCACACCGTCAGGGGGCATCGGAGGGGGAATAAATTTTGGAAGAGGAGGCGGAAGAAGATAATTTTTCTTTTATATATGTTTTCTGGAATCTGGAATTTCTTATATATGTTTTTGCTCCCACTGCAAACCCGAGTTCTTACCGCAAACTCAATCATTACAAGTTACGTTTGGTTTGTTACCAAGAGGTGATTGATGCCTAGGCTGTTCAGAATTGCTTGATGGTGATGACTTGTCTTGGTTATTCTGTTCTTTTTTTTTTCAGTGAAGCATTGATACTCTGTTTGATTGATCAACATCTTTTACAATGAGTTGCCTTGGATTCCATATTTGATGGGATATAGTAGTAATTCCATATGGATGTAAATGCTTTTGACCATAGTAGTGATGTGGGCATCAAATTCCATCTATGATTGGAATTTTTCAATGAAACATTGTAGGTAATTTGCCCTAGATGGATGTAAATGCTTGACCAAGTTTGGTGTAGTTTCGAGTCTGTCTTGCATAAGGATGAAAATTCTAGGTTGTGAAGTAACATAAAAAATTATGAAATCAGGAGATGAGATTTGGTGGGATAAAAGGTTATAAGTATCTATGGGGTTCATCCTACATCACTAGATTTGATATTGTTGGAGGAGAAGAGAGTAGAAGATAGTGGTAGATTAGAGATAAATAGAAGAAAATTAGGATTTACAAAGAGAACACCAAGACATGCTCTTTGGAAAATTCTATTTTTCATTTTTTTTTTCCCCAGGGAGAGATTGTAAAAAATATGCCTAGCTTAACTATGATGGTTTGGGTTAATGTTTGCCGTAATTATGAAATTGCTACTGCATACCATATTAAGAGAAACCAAAACCACTGCATCTTCTAACTTATTTATTTATTTATTTATTTTTGATAAATTGCAGCTTCTAATTTATTGACCATTGACTTTAAAATTTTGAATGAACTTTAACAATGACAAAACCCCTCATCAAGGATGTAAAAATGACTCGGTTACTCCTATGAACCAAAATTTATAAAAACAAGGAAAACAGAAATTTTTAGACTCTAATGTGGATGCAACCTTGTTATTGTATCTCAATGAAAATTTCTGCTTACTCACTGTGGCACATCCCTTATTGGTTATATGTTTTTTGTTATAAATATTTTAGATATTTAATAGGAGTTTTTTTATAAGCAAACACACGAAAATGATTTCATTTGGGTAAACCAATTCATACCCTGTGATGGTGGCAGACATGCACGAAATAGGGATCAATTTGTAGCCATTACTGCTTGCAGGTGTTATTGCATCATGGCATGTTAGGCTTTTGTTTTATTGCTTGTATGTTTTGTTTTAATCCTCAAGTGATCAAGGATTAGGTGGTGACAACATGAAGACATCGCTATGACAATGACACGTGTTTTTTTATGGTTAATTTTAGGCTTAATGTGGGTGGATTTGCAAAATTGATGTTAAGAAATAGTTTCATTATCCAAATGCTATTTCTGTTCCTGTAGAACAAAAAAAATCGTTCTCGAAGAACAATTTGCCAAATATATCTATTACTCTTGAAGAGCAAGAAATAAAATTCTTGTTCTGGAACAGGAATTTCTAAAAGAATAAGAACAGATGGGAACATTGCCAAACAGGGCCTAAGCACCTATGAGTGGTCTAGCAGGAAGGAACGTATGGGTGAATGTAGAAGTTTAAACAAAACTTCACATCCTATGAATACTCGAGGACGGAATCATGGAATAAAGAACAAGTGAGAGGTAGAAGCCTAAGAAATGAAAGACGAATGGATGAGCAACATCAAAGGTCAACGCAATCAGGATTACAATAATGAAACCATGTGTTCCCACACTTGGTGGCAGGAGATAATATAACAGAAAAACTTTTCTCAAGAATATAATGTGTCATCCTGACATGACAGCATAGACAGGAAAGTTGGACAATAGCATCCTGTAGAAGGTTTCAGATAGAAAATCAACGCATATATGCACCAATAGCAGAAAGCTGTGTTTTCACCATGGCAACAACCTTTCCAATGTAAATTAAGGTAAATTAAGGTAAACACAGAAAGCTGTGTTTTCACCATGGCAACAACCTTTCCAATGTAAATTAAGGTAACTGGTCCTCTGGAGTACAAAACAAGCTGTCCTCAGGCTAGAAATGTTGGGTTAGGAACTTTAATTTCCAAAGTTATGTCGGACTGCAGTAGCATGACATCTAAAGCAAGATAAAAGGATTGCAATAGAGGTGTGTAGTAGTACATAGGTCCATGATTACAAGCGTGTGGTCACAAGAGAGCTTCTATTCCAACAATTTTTTACATAGGTAATTTCAGGCTACAATTTTAGCCGCAGGACAACCTAAGCTCTGGAGGACACTGCAATGACCCATGAGATGATAAAGTAAATCCGGAACGAGTAGGTGAATACTAGAATCTAGACCCATAAAAAAAGAAAAAAGAAAAAAAATGATTAAGAATGGAATAAGCAAATATATGGGGTCAGCCATAAAAAAGATGAAAAATGATTAAATCAGATATTCATTAAATATATTCATGAACAAGAGTTCATTATCATCATCACCATCTAAGCCTTGTCCCAACTATATGGGGTCAGCCAGATGAATGCTGTTTCATCATTCTGTTCTGTTAAGAGTTCTAGGACAAATTTTATCATGTGCAACAAGGAAACGTGAGAGCAAGGGAATACACTCAAGAGTCTTGTGAACTGTTTGCTCTAACAGGTTTGCCAAGACTAGGAGCAAATTTATAGTGCTTATGTAAAGAGCCACACACATGCAACTTGCAAGATGATCCCTGCACAGTTGGGAGGGTAGATTATGCACATCTTCAGGCTGGTCCGTACATCTATCACCCTAGTCAGAGGAAATCCCATAATTTCAAATYCCATAAAGCCCTAACTAAACCTGAATTGTCAGGGATTTCTTCTCTCCTCTTACAGCTTTAATCCGGATAAGTTGATTTGGTCCCGGACTATACATGGGAATTTCTCCTTTAAATCTTACTTTTGTCAGCTGGTTGCTGGCTCCACTTCCTCTTCCTTCCTAGACAAAAGAATATGGGTTGCTTCAGTTCTCCTCCCAAGAATCTCCTTTCACATATGGGAGCAGCTCATGGTTAAATAAAACCTATGACAACATAACAAAGGAAGAGGAAAGGGTAGCTTTGCATCACTCTACATGCTTGTATTATATGACGACAGGATGGTGAACCAATTCGTCACCTTCTCATAAACTGCAAGGTGGCTCGTAATTGTGGCAATTCCGGACCTGATGTGCGATTTGCAATTTCCATTAGGTCCCCCCAACTCCGTAAGAAATTTTATCTTCCAATGGAAGGAGTATGATGGGGAAGAGAGGAAACATTTTCTGGAGAGCTGTGATTCGCGGCATTACAGGGAGAATATGAGAAGAGCATAATAAAAGAATATTTAAAATAGGGTTTCCTCCTTGAAGGGCCTGAAAAGGCATGCTGTGGCTCACATTTTTTCTTGGACGCTGATAAATCAGGCTTTATCAGGTTTCAGTTATGGAGATATGGACAGAAATCTATTGGAAATTCTTCTTCTCCCATCCATCCTTAGGCAGCTCCTCAGCTCAAACCCCCCCCCTCTCTTTCTGAGACCTGAAAGTAACTTTATTCTACAGTTTGATGGCAGCTTTAAAGGTTCTCTTGAGTCTCTTTGGACAGAAGGTATCAAGGGAGTTACTTTGAAAATCTGATGGGAACTTGGAATGGGTCTCGTCCTATTTCAGCTTCTGATGCATCTGAAAGGTCCATCTCCTTCATGTTGACCTCCGGATTGCTCAATCCACACAGGCTACCTCTGTTCTGGTGGAGGGTGATTTGAGGAATAAGATAGGTTGGTCCAATAATATAGGGACTGGCCTGTGGAGGCTTGCTCGCTTCCTCTATGAAATCTTGAACTGTCTGCTTCCTTAAACTGCATCCTTAGATGGATCTCCAGGGAATTAAATGAAACAGCAGATGCTTTAGCTGAATCTGTCTTGGGAAGGGATATTTTGTATAGTGAAATGCTTTAACTATTTCTTGATAGGCTGCTTTTTGTTGTTTTAACCTATTTATTTGTAAATTTTCTGATGTATCCTTGCCCTTTTWTAACTTTTTTTTTTCAAAAAAAAGAAAAAAGATTGTGCACATTAATGTGTTTTGGAATTGCAAGTTTCAAAACTTCAACACCACCACACCTAAGACCCAATTTCTTAAAACTTGGCCTTCCATTAAATCCAATGGATAACCCTATACAACCTGTTATGAAATGTGCTGCTATCATTCATTAAAAGGACCACATTGGATTCTGTCCCATGACTCACATTACCCCTAAGATATGACTGAAAGTCAGACATACACTCTTCCAAGAACTTAATTTCAATAGTTGTCTCTACTGTAAAAGCTGAATAACTGACAAACTCAAGGAATGAAACTACTTTGCAATAAAAGTTGATCCAGTATTTGGATATCACAAACGTCCTCTATAGACTCTTTTCTCACTGTCACAAGACTGATACATTAAAAATATTCCATCCAACAGCTTTCTCTCATACCCAAAAACAATGAAACATTGGATGTGCTTTGTTAGCATCATTAGATTCCTGTTAATTATAATTACTCAACAGCCATTCCTGCATGATTCTTTACTATCCACAAGAACCTCTATGACCCTCATGATGTAATCCCTAATCTACTAATATAGATATTTCCTTCCCTAGAACCATTCTTGTGTGAGGACCTTCAACATTTCTAGAGCATACCTTGACTGGAGACAACCAGCCTGTTTCCTCAACAACTGAGAAAATAGAGCTCAAAAACCTTCCCTTTTCCCTCAGTCTGCTTGGATTTACTTTACCACTTTTGCATCAACTTATCCACAAACCTAGAGGTTAGGCTGCATCACTATCCATATTTTCTTATAAATAACAGTGATAAAAAAGAAGTGTATTAAGGAGAATGAAAAAAAAAAAAAAGAGAACCCAAGCACCTGAGAAAGGTTCAAGTTGTGAAGAAAGTAAACAGCATTTAGCTGCCCAACAACACTGAAGATGGAGAAGTACAGTCATCCTCTTGACTACATAAGAACCAATGATGATCATGATCCCTACATTATACTAAAAGTTCCAGTGTTTCAAGTAGCAACTGGGATCATATAAGCAACTTTTAGTGATGGTGAAGTGGGAACATCTTGTTATATAGTAACAGACTTGTTGAAGATTATCAATGCCAAGGATTGTGTATTTTACAATCAACCGATCACTGTAACTCAGAGAGGAGAAATGGAACATCCACTATACACAGAATGTAACAAATATCACCCAGTTGACATTTGAAAAGAACATCTCATTGTCAATACTAGGTGAATTGAGGACCCTACACCACACTAAACACACACACAAAAACCTGGAGAAAAGAAAAGAAGCAACCATTTTGCCCACAAAAGAGTAAGGCATAGCATGAAGAAATTCAAATGGAATAGAGGAGAAATCATTTACAACCAATGTAAGTAGTATCACTTCTTGATAGATTAAAAACCTGACTAATTTCAGATCAGAAGAACCTAGTCCTGGTCCTTGTGATATGACCTAGAATACCATCTTTACAAACTGCTCTTACATGATGTCTCGGGGATAAGCAAGAGCCATATGCCCATATCTAAACAGAGAACACTTGAATTCTAAAAGTAGAGAAAAGAAATGTAGAACAAACTAGTTTTAGTCTCTATTTAATTGTAACAAACTTATTGGTACCATGTCTAGCCCAGTGGTCCTTCAAGTCAACTGGATGAGAGAGGTCATGACCTTCAGCTGCGAGTCTCTGAAGAAGCTTTGCATATGCACCATTACTCATTTTCCTCCCAGCCATGCGTGCTCCAGGCCTTTTGGAACTCATTGGGAGAGGATACTCAGATATGTTTGTTGTACAACAGGAGGACTGCCATCCACCAGCACCCCATCTGTAGCACTGCCGAGCTACACCAGTGCAGGAACAGATAGGAGCAGGTATCCGTGAAAAATCTAGGGTGGCTCCACCTATAACAATATCCAAATTTTTCTTCTCATGTTTTGCTGTTGACATAGAATTATTCTTTTTCTTTGTAGTTGTAGAGACAGAAGGCTTCTTTTTGGGTTGCTTTGGTCTCAGGGCTTTAGAGGCAACACGATTAGCCTTCTTTGCAGAAGGTTGCTGTTTTCTTATCTTTGTGGATTTACTACCAAACTCATTATTGTGTCCATCAGTTGGAACACCCAAACCAGTGGGAACAACAGGAAGTCCCGTTTCTGTGTTCAGTGGAGTTGCTTGTAGACTTGGATTGGCTTTGTTTGGAGGCAGGAAGTTTCTTGGATGAACCCAACAGTGCCCTCCATACTCCATGGTAGATGCTCCTGTATCAGCTTGAGGAACCATGGAGTTTCTGTTGGCATATGCCCCCATCTTCAAAAAGGCAGCTTGATGTCCAGATGTTCCACTGGGGACTGGGACTCCTGAGACAGGCTTCAGTACTGCATCTACGCCTACAGACTGTTCTGAGAAATCCCAATTCCTAATACCCAGTCCACCTTTCTCATCCATGTAGGCTGGCAATAAAACAACCCTCAACGTACTTCTTGTGCAGGGAAATAGATTATGCCCACATACTGTAAAATAACTGTATGCGACATTGATGTATTGACAAATAAACATCAGAAATTACAGAGAAATATAAGGAAAAAGCAACTACGAATTAGTGGCAAATAAATCATTATGACACCTAAACCTGAAAACGATATAATCAAAAGAAGTCACCGAATGCAACTGAAAATAAAAATTCCAAATTTCCCCTAAAGTAAATCATGAAGGCAAAATGTAACTAGTCAAAACACTTCAGACTCAGAGGGACTATAAAGAAAGATCCATGAGAAACACGTGAACCAAATTCCAAAAGTGGAAGCCTGAAACTGAAACGGTGAAACCCCCCTCCTCCAGAACCGTTTCAGGGCAGAAGATTTTACAGTTTGGCCATAGACTTAGCAAGAAAGTGCTCCTAACTTTTCAATACTAACATAAAACCATAAAATGGGAAAACACCTATAAAAAACAGTTTAGCAAATTTTCTAGTAGCTAACGAGCCTTTTCCTCAAACAGCTTCAACTGGAAGCCAAAAATACAACTTGATCTACAAACCCATGAAACTACAGTAAAATGCAAACCCTACACAGTGCATTAGTGATATAGCAGATTAAAAAAAAAAAACCCAAAATTTTCATAAAGTAAACCCATAAACTGAGAAGAAAAACAAAACCCATGTGAGTAACAACTAAAAACCCTCAAAATCAGGGCGGAAAAACAAAATACGCCATCTGTTTCATGAATCAAACCAACAAAAACTTTAGAAATTACCAGAGAAAACGGATATCCACATGATGAAACAGCCCAAGCTCAGCCATCAAATAGAAACTTCAGAACAAACATGCAGTGAAGACTCTCCAACCACAGAAAAAAGCAAAACAAGAAATAGAAGAAAGAGGGATGAGGAGAGAGAAACTTACAGGATGAAAGATCTCTACGAGAGAAGTTCCTCTTAATTATAAGGAATTGAAGAAAGAAACTCTTTTTCTAGTAAAATTTTCAGCTCTTCTCCCTTTTCCAACTTGTTGGGCGTGGAGGAAGATGGATAAAAAAAGCTACTTTTTCCCTATGGTTTTGCGAGCAGAGATATATTCATATATCTGTAGTCTCTACTGCCATGAAATACTCCCTCTGTGTACTTTTTTCTTGGACCCTTCAAGTTTAAAGAGACAGAGCTATAAAATATTATCATTTATATATTTAAAGAATAATATAATTACTAATAAGTTCATCAAGCTAACTTACGCCATAGTGCGCATCTAGTAACTACTGGCATTGGACGTTTATATCGTATAAAACTATTTATGGTAATGTATTACGTCCAAGAATATTTTTAGTAATCCTCAGATGACTGAACCAGAATCTATCGTTGGGATACAATTAAAAACAAATTGTGGAGAGCCTGGGACCACGTTCGGGCCCAGCTTAAGAGATCTTTTTAAGGTCAAAAGTCAATGGAGTAGCAACGACACCGAACGACGATGATCTTGTTGTTCATCGTGGTCAACGGAGGTAGTGGCTTCGATTTCTTTGTACTACGATAATCATAGGCCGTGCGTTTTATGATGTCTTGTATCGGACGGCTGATTATTGTTGTCCTAGTTTGTAAACGGAAATTACCGTCTATGAAGACTTGTATGTATATAGACACGTCAGACGTTGGTGTTCATTAATTAATTGATCTGGGTCGTTGGTTTGAAGTAAATACTAAATTGACTTGCGTACGGAAATGAATGAACGGAGGGTGTCGTGTGTCTGACATGAGGGGAAAGAGTCCTCAGGTGGGGGCCCTTTGAATAGTGTTGGTGAAGGATAAAGATCGAGTGGTACCTGCGCATAATAGAAAATATGCATTCTAGTGTGCGATTTATGGGGAAGAGCCAAAAAAAAAAAAAAAAAAGAATGGGTGCGTAGTCTGAGTTCTGCCAAACTGGTGAGTGGCACCGAATTCGGTACAGCGTGCTATGAATTCACAGAGATCGTATCTGTTTCTCACACCTTGCGTCTCACAGGCGCCTCACACGCACATCCAATCATTCATTACGAACATCTTCCGTACTTATTTTATTCACGAGAGATGTTTTCAATGAATGGTGGATGTGCATTGAAAAAGTGATGAAATGTCATTGAGAGATGTTCTCAATACATGACTAGAATGGGACTGTAGGGTGCAAATGGACTGATCCGAGATCCGATCTTATTTGGTCGGATTCGGATCATTCTGTTTGGATCTTTAAAATGGATCGGGTCCTATGACCCAAACAAAAATTGGATCAGATTCGGATCACCTCTATCTGATTCGAGAATATCCAACCTGATATATTATATATTTATAAATATAATATATATATGTAATTTATTTATTTTTTATTTAAAACATATATATATATATGATAAAAATAATTAAAAAATACTTGTAATTTTATTTTTACTTTATTTAAATTAATATATTTTAATTTTCTTTTAATAATTTATTAATTTTTAAAGAAAATAAGTCGGATTGGATTGGATCTGACATGAACATTGTCAAATTGGATTCGAATATACCTTAATTTAAATTCGATCTGATCCATTTGCATTCCTAATTGTGGGGCGCCTAGAGAATTCATGCATTTACATGGGAATATAAGCGACTCCGGATGTCCTGCCCACATTTTTCTTTCAAGAAACTGAAAATTCATTAAGATATAGCGGAAGCATTACATATATGGGTTCTGCTACTACCGTCTCCTAGAGATCGGTTGTGTTTACATGCATTGTACGCATGTTCATGAGCATCAGTATTTGCTGTTTTTCTAATATGATTAGTACATATATTATCAAAATCCACCACAATATTAAGAAGTTGGTCTCTGAGGTGCACCAAGTCCCATTCTACTTCACATTTTCCCTGGATTGCTCGCCCACAATAATTCTACCCACGCCTACCTACAAAATACTATCCCTTTGCATTGGGAACATCTCCCCATGCACAATAATATGTAAGAGGAGGGGATGTTCCCCATGTGTAGCTGCGATGTTATGTGGGTAGATGTGGATAATGGGTAGAGTTGCGTGTAGGAAATGTGAGGAAAAAATGGGTCATTTACTAAAACGCCTCTATAGTTTCACATATTGACTAAAGCCTATTTTATAGTTTCACATACTTACTAAAACACTTCTATAGTTTCACATATTTACTAAAACCTATCTTATAGTTTAGCTTTATATTGATGCTTGAAAAATGATAGCTTGGCCAGTGTGAAAAATGTTCAAGGGCATGGGCCTATATTATTTTATTTCAAAATTATCCCTAATACATCATATTGAGCTCTTAAAATGAATCATTGTTTGATTTTTGGATTTTTAGATCTACCACACAATGTTTGATTTCTATAGAATGAAGAACAGAGAACAATGCATACCAAGTTATTAGTTAATTTGCAACATCATGTCTTCCTTCTTCAAATAGAGAAAAAAATTGAACGAAAAGAATTGTTGCCCATGTTTTACTAGGGGCAATAGTGACATTTCCATTTATATTATCTATAGATTATATTGGTCCAAACAGATCCTAAAGTCGAAAAAGTCATTTCCACTTCAACCTAATGTAAAATACCAAAAAAATTATAACATACAAATATTCAATATAAAAGAGTAGGTCTTATAAAAAGCTAAAGGCCGGGTGAGGGAATTGGGATTCGCTCCTCATAGAGCGCTCCTCCATGGACCTTACAGTCACATCCGACAGTGTATTGGGAACATCTCTTATGAATAATAACATACAAGTATATGAGATGTTTTTCGATGTGCGGCTGATGCATACATGTTGTAAGATTGGTGTAAGGAGCACTCTGTAAGGACCTTACAGTCACATCCCACAGTGTATTGGGAACATCTCCTATGAATAATAACATACAAGTATAGGAGATGTTTTCCGATGTGCGGCTGATGCATACATGTTGTAAGATCGGTGTGAGGAGCGCTCTGTAAGGAGTAGATCCCGACTCGGGTGAGACGGAGAGGCAAGGTGTAAGCCTCAAAGTATATGTAAGTTTTTTAATTATTAGTTATAAAGAAAAAAAAATTGGACTCTAGAACAGAATGGATTCTTAAGACCTAACGATCATTGTTCAAGGAATATGTTGATCTAGCTTATGGCTATTGTTGTATATCTATTAAAGTCCTTATGTATGCATAAATGGATACCCATTTTTTTCTCTTTTTGGTTACACAATATACATTATAGGAATTTTCATTGATAGCATTTCCTTATGAAAAGTATGAGAGATATTCCCAATGCACACTGAGATGTGCATGTGAGGTGCCAATTGAACTCACATTAGAGGGTACTACTCCATTGTAGAACTGTTCGTAAGACTGATCAAATTGACCAACCTGATCCAACTTGATATAAGTTGGTTGGTTTTCAACTATTTTCGATCAGCTTCAGTTCATGCATTATCTTAATCCGAGAGGTTGGGTCAGTTTCAGTTTGGTTGTGTATAAATCAATCAAAATTGACCCAACCTAACTATAGATATATATTAATATTTTAAATTCAATTTTTTCAATATAAGAAAGTGGAAAATTCCCATATTTCATAGTTTAAAATACTTTAGATTTTAAATTTAATTTTTAATAATATCTCTGTAATTATTAATTAACTTTGTTGTTTTAAAATTTTTATCTAGTGAAACATGTTTCATAGTTTAACAAATTAATTTTGAACTGCCTTTTGAATTGATCAATCAAACCGATACAATTCGAGTTGACAGATTTTAGGTGCCAATTCCTCAATCCTCACTAAGTCAGTTTGATTAGTCAAACAGCTTGCAACCAAACCAAACGGCCCATACCACAGAGAGCTTGCAGTTCTGCAACTTTGATCCCGTACCTCCTTTTTTTCTCAACTATTAGGTTATCGGTCATGCATGGATATCCATTATGTGCATCAGTGTATGTACTAGGGCTGTCAATTCGTTGGGTCTACTCGACAGACCTGAACTGTCTGAATCATTTATAACAGTTCTGGTTCTGTGGTTCATTCCGATAGGTCGGTTCTGATTTTAATTTTTGTGTCATGAATAATATGGGACCGGTTTTGGCTGTCCCGAACTGAATATATATATATATATATATATATATACTATATGTTTTATAATTTTGTATAGAGATACATGTAAAACCTAAGAGGCTAAAACCCTCAAACTCTTTTGGCTCTTCAGCTCGTCAGTTGTCACTTTCTGGGAGAAAGTTTCTCAGGAACCACCAAATCATAGAATCACCGACTCTCAGACCTCACTATTCAGTTCAACTTCCTCTATTGAGATTTCGCCACTTTGGACCACACTTGAACTTCACTTCGGGCCTTTGGCTATTCTTCAAATCCTTTGAAGATTGAACGAAAACGAGAGGAGAAAGCAGCATTGCAGCAACTTGGTTTTCTATCTCAGCTCAAGACTTAGTTTTTAACCTCACCTCGCCACTTTCTCTGTTAGAAAAAGGTGAACTTTTGTACTTTGGCTTTTGGTTTTTGTTTCATGTTTCATGTTCTCCCATTCTTTTTTTTGGTAAAGAATTAGATGGGGTGTATTTCAATATTTGAAACTTGATAGTTCATCCATATCTAGATTAATTTTTGCTTTTTTTTAGTTGATTCTGTGCATTTTCAAAATTAGCAATAATTTGTTATTCTTCAAAAGTAATTAATATACAAATGCTTCCCCCACTTGATGAAAAATTAGGGTTTTCTGGATGTGTCTGCCAAAACCACATAGACGTGAAACCCCAAGGAATGTTGAGTTGCTGATTGCTCCTCTTACTGTCTGGACGTCTCTTATCGTTTTTTATTTAATCGGGTCGGGTCTAATCGAGTTAGGCCCAATTGTCCTGCTTATCCATCAGTTCGGTACCGGTTGTGAAATAATAGAATCGATTGGGTACTATCGATTTTAGTAGTCGGTTCGGAACAGTTTTACCCTGTCCCGATGACAGCGTTGGTATGTACACATACCTATAACATAAATAATATGGCTACATCAAAGGATTATTTATTTATTTATTTATTTTTGATAGGTAAATAAACTATATTATAACGATAAAAAATCAATATAATTCAATACATTTTGTTCCAAATGCACTATCCAAACAGTACCTAGCAAGCCTTTGAGTGGA